CCCGGGTCCTCCCTCTTCCCCTTCTTGAAGATGGGGACCACATTTGCTACCTTCCAATCATCTGGCACCTGGCCCAAGCACCACGATCGCTCATAGAGCCGTGCCAGGGGCCCTGCAATAACCCCAGCTAGCTCCCTCAACACCCTGGGGTGGAGATCATCTGGACCCGCTGACTTGAACGCATCCAGCCCCTCCAGAAGCTCTCTAACCCAGTCCTCCCCAACCTGAGGTCTGAAGGCGATCCCCTCGAGTCCGGCTTCTATCACAGCAGGGAAGTCCCAGTCCCTGCACAAGAAAACGGAGGTGAAGAATTGGTTAAAGAGGTCTGCTTTCCGTAATATCCTTGTTGAGCCAAGTGGGTCTCTTGGCTCCTTTCCTGCTTTTTGTCTGCATGGGGATGGCTTGTTTTTGAGCTGTGAGAATTGCCTCCTTAAGGAAGCTCCACTGTTCCTGGACTCCAAAATCTTCCAGTTGCTGGTTGCAGGGCCTCTCCAACCAGCCTCTTTAGCCTGCCAAAATCTGCCTTCCTGAAATCTAGGACTTCTGCTCTGCTGACTGATTTCCTAGTCTTACAGTGAATGGTGAACCTTGTCAGGTCATGATCGCTGTTGCCCAGAGTACCACCAATTCTCAGGTCGCCTATGATGTCCTCCCCCTTGGTCAGCACCAAATCCAGAGTGGTCTTACCCCTAGTAGGCCTTTCAACAACCTGTGTCAGAAACAGATCATCTGTTGTTGCCAAGAAGTTGGCTGACCTGGTGGCTAAATGGTCCTCCCAACAGATGTCAGGGTAGTTGAAGTCATCCATGACAATCATGTCTCTAGTGCGAGCTGCTTCAATAAGCTCTCCGGAGAATGCCTAATCACACTTCTCCTCTTGGGAGGGAGGCCTGTAGTAGACTCCCACCATCAGGTCTCCCTATTCTGGTCCCCTTTGTATCCTGACCCATTGTGTCTCAAGGGACCTTTCCCTGCTGTCAGACATAACCTGCAGGGAGGGGAACTGCTCTTTCACATAGAGGGCCATACTTCCTCCTTCTCGACCTGAAGCCTATAGCCTTCAATATTCACTGCCCAATCGTGTGTGTCATCCCACCAGGTCTCCATCAACCCAATCAGATCGTATTCCTCATCAGCCAGAAGGAGTGCCAGTTCCTCCTGTTTGTTTCACGTGCTTTTGACATTCCGATAAAGACACTTAAGTTCCCTCCTGGTTGCCTCAGGTTTTCTGTCACGCCGCCTGTCTCTCAAGATGTTAGTACTTACCTGGATGTCTGCAGCTTGAATGCCCTCCTGTGTGTCATTGCAGCTAGAGGATTCCTGCACAGTAGTGGAACCTTTTCCCCACTCCCCAGAAGTACCTAGTTTAAAGCCCACCTCAACAAGTTGGCAACTCTTATAGTGAAGAGCTTCTTCCCTCTGCCTTGTATCATTATACAGCATAAGAGACACTGGGAAACAAAAAGCTAGTTTAATGATGCAGCATTTCATTCTGCTTAGAGGCCGGGAAGGGGACTATGAGTCTTCACATCTCTATTGTGCTGCAATTTAGGAATAATAACACTTCCTAGTGTTTGATATCCTCAGATAAAAGACACTATGTAAATATATTGCAATTAGTAGTAATAGCCAGCATTTTTAGATGTAGGTACCCAATATTTGAGCACCTTAATGGAAGTGACCTCATTTTCAGAAGTGCTGAGTAGCCCCAAAGCATAACCAAGTCAATTGAAAGACTTTTTTGAGATGCTGATAGTATCTAACCTTTTGTGCTGTGTTCCTGTACATGAAAGGGAGACTTTACTCAGTGAACCTTGCATACAGTGTCTTACTTTTATTTATAATTGAAAATTATTTCTGGAGAAAACACCCGTGTTTCAGTACAGATTAGGGTAATTTAATTTCTTTTTTTTTAAGATTTTTTTCATTGTCAATTTTTAATATAGCAAGAAAATTCAGCACAACAGGAATACGCTCTGCAGCTTCAGAAGCGAGAACAGTTTTTAGCTGAACGAGAAGCATTGCTTTTCAGACATGAAGCTGCTTTGACTAAGATAAGGGGTGTTGAGGAAGAAGTCCATGCAAAATTTCAAATGATAAAGGAGGTATGTTAATCTGTTTATTACCTTGCACCAGCCATTTGAATTACATACAGATATCCTCAGTTTATTGTCATGTATAAAATTATGTTTTCTGTAAAGTGTTTGGTGATTTTTTTTTCAAATTAAAAGTTGGTGTGTAAGTACAAAATAACATTGGTGTTTGGTATATATTTTAGTTATGACATCTGCTTTCTCAAAGAGATGTCTTTAACAGTCTGTTTTCTGGATTATCTTTTGCTCTATTTTGAAAACAAGATTACCTCTTTCTGAAAAAATACAGTAGACTCCCAACTTAGGTGTATATTGTGATCCTGAGAAACCTTGTGTATGTCGAATTCACGTGACTTGAGGTGAATTTTCCCATAGGAAATAATAGAAAAGTGAGTGGTTGCATTCCTTAGACCTCACATTTATGACACCAAAGGTACCAAAATAAGACCTTTTTCAACCAATACTTTATTTCTTATGTTACAAAAACATTGGTTGATTGAGTCGAGACAGTGCTGTCCTGCTTCCTGAAGAACTTGTCCAAGGAAGACTACACCAAGCAGTGCCGCTTCTCCCTGTAAAGCTTTTCTGCTGCTTCTCCCCAGCCACATTTTCCTCGTCAACCTGCTCAAAGCCCAAACTCTTAGCCATCTCAACAATCTCATGCCTTGCATCACTGATAAATTTGTCAACAGCAAAGCCTTGGAAATCATTCACAACAGCAGGCCAGATGTTTTCCCAGACACCATTAAGGCACTGCTGTGTAACATCATTCCAGGCTTCTCCAATGATGTCTATTGCCATCTTGATGTTAAATTTCTTCCAAAATTCTTTGATGTTTGTCTTTTCCTTTGATTCTGTCTCATTGATAAGCTTCTTGAAGGTCCTTCGTAGATAATAGCTCTTGAAAGCTTGGTGTATTTTCTGCTTGGGTGTTAATAATAATTTGTGTAAACGTGAGACATGGGTAAGTCAAATATGTGTAAAATGGGGGTCTACTGTAATTAAATTTAACTATAACCTGGTTTACGTGTAAGAACAAAGAATTGGAGATAACTAGAGATGCATTGATATATCAGTCGCATATCAGATCAGCACCGATAACAGGACAATTAACATTACCGCCAATCAGCTTTTTGGATAAATAGCTATCACTGTGAAATGCTGCATGCATGCATGCAGCCACAGCATGCAAGCGGCCAGAAATATAGCCCAGCAGTGTCGAGAGCAGCGTCCTGCTGATAAGTCTGTGGGGGTCAGGGGAGGGGCATGCAGGTTGAGGCCCCCACGGAGGGGGAAGGAGTGGGGCAGGGGCAGGTGTTGCCCAGCAGGGACAGGTGTGGGGTACAGCCTCAGGCAACTCATCCAGGAGGCGTGGGGAGGGTGGAGAGGAGGGACAGCCCCCTGGGGGAGGGATGGGGGGCATGTGCCCCCCGGATTTGTGCATGGTGAGGATCGGCTGCCTGCTGCAGGCTTGGGGCCAGGGGCTGTGCTTGCCACTTCCTGGCAGCAGGGCTGGGCCAGGGGTGCACTCGAGGAGGGTGGGGGTAGGGTGGGCTCAGCTGCTCTAAGTGGATGGTGGCGGTGGTGGTGCTGGGAGGGGTCCTATGGGGAATTTTTGGGTGGCCATAGCCCCTCAAGCCCTCCAGCACTGCCCCTGCTCGGGGCACTCTGTCCTGCAGCTGAGCCTGCCCCTCCCCCACCCTGAGTGCAGCCCCAGCCTAGCCCCCTTGCCAGGAAGAGGCTGGCACAACCTCTGGCCCCAAGCCTCCAACAAGCAGCTCGCTCTTGCCCCGTGCACAAATCTGGGGGGGCATGTGCCCCCTATGCCTCTCCCAGGGGTACATGCAGCAGAAGTAAGCTACCCCTCCCTCCGTACCACCCCCCAACCCAATGTCCCCTTTGCGAGCCACCCACAGCTTTGTCCCCCTCCCTGCCCTGGGGTCGCATTCACCTCCCCGGCTGGGTAGCCCCTGCCCCACTCCTTCCCTCACCGGGGAGACCTATATCTGCTCCCACACTCCCTATCCCTCCCCCATGGCCCTCCCTCCCACCGACTTACCAGCAAGATGCTGCTCTCTATGCTGCCCAGCTGCATTCCTGTGAATTTGCTGTGAGATCAGTATCGGTTGATATGGCTGGTTAATATTTGGCCATCAGTATCGGCCAAGAAAATCTTTATTGGTTTACCCCTAGAGATAGTGCATTTAAAACTTGGCATGTAACTTAATGGAAATATTGAATTCAGACCTAAAGAAAAATGTACTGTATTTGAAAGCTTGTCTGAGTCTATCCCACCTGAGTCTATCCCACTTGTCTAAGTCTATTTTCACTGTTTTTTCATCCAGCTGAAGTGATTAACCCACAGTTAGTAATTATCCCTACTGTTTTCCTATCCAGCTGCTAAATCTATTGCTTTCCTTTAGCACATCGTCTGTAGTAAAAGATAACACCCACAAAAAGTCTCGTCTCTCACCTATAACTTAACGTAAGTCCTACATTTCTTTTTTGCAGTAGTACCTAAAGCCAGGGTGGGCAAAATGACAGATCTGCCCGGCAGTCAGAGTCCATTTCCCAGCAGCCCCTACCCATGTGGCTGGGGCCAGTTTCCAGGGAGACCCCAGCAGCAGCCACACTGTGATAGTGCAGAGCTGGGGTTTCTGTGGAGACCAGCCCCAGCAGCACTGGCAGGGTTTGTGGCAGGTGGGGCAGGAGCTGCTCTGGAGCTGGGCTGGGATCTTGCAGCTGTAACAATGTGGTCCAGAGCCAGGGCAGAACCACGATCTGCAGCCTGCATGGTCTGGAGCCAGGGCAGAGCTGCAATCTGCTGCCTGCATGCCCTTGCCTGGAGCATGCAGGCTTCAGATCGCAGCTTTGTCCTAAATCTAGACCATACTGTCACCAGCCAGGCCCTGGAGTAGCTCCCTGCCCTGCCACGCACCCTGCCAGTGCTGCTAGAGCCAGTCTCTACAGAAATCCTGGCCCTGTGATATCACAGTGTGGCTGCTGCTGGGGTCTCCATGGAAACCGGCCCCAGCCACTTTGGCAGGGGCAACTGGCAAATGGAGTCCACTGCCAGCCGGATCCTGCCCATAGGCCAGACATTGCCCGCCCCTGACCTAAAGCATGCTTGATTTTTATAAGAGTCTAAGACCACCAAATCCATTTATTTTAGATGATTATAATAGTATAGGGTCTGTTTCAGACAGAATTTACCAGGGAGAGCTGTAAAAATACAACTTTTAATGAAAGAAAAAGCCAACTTAAGTTTTCATTCCCCCCTTAAAATTAAGACCTCTGGACAGAAGTAGACATTTAAAGATATTGTTTCTGGGGGATTTATTAGTGAAGCTAACCCTTGTCGAAGGAGTCAGATCTTATCTGGAAGAGCAGGACGGGGAGTCATAACATTTTTACATTCTGCCTAAACTACAGCGTGTTACATTTCTCTGCAATGTGCATATCTATCTTGTCCTTTAATGACTGAATCAGGTCTGTTTAATATTAAGTAATTCCAGGCTAGCTTATCCACTGTTTTTTCGCAAAATGTATGTTGGAGTTTCAGAATAAAACTCCTAATGAATATGGAGACAATATGAAGAAGGTTATGTGTTCCTGTAGACATAGCAGTATGTATTAAAAGTAGTATGTTAATATATGCCTCAAATGTATTGGTAAGAAAAGTTTTGCCTTGGCTTTCACAACTGAGTACTTGTATGGAGGAGGTGCTCTCCACAGGTAAGTGAAGTACCGTAGTCAGGCAAGTCCTTTCCCACAGCCTTCTGGTTCTGTTGGCTGCAGACAAGGTATCTTAGAGTGAAAGGGAGATGCTTTATGGCTTCCTGTATTGTCAGTTGTGAAATGTGCATTTGGTGATGCTAATTAGAAGTGAAAAAGGAATTCTAAGGTTTGTCCTTACACTTTTCTTTCTATTTTATTTTCCTTTCATACACAAGCAGTGAAAAGAAGGAAGAGGGTGAAAGATAAACGTGTTTGGGTTTTTTTTTTTAAAGCTTACATACAAACGTGGTCAAAGAAAATGCCTATATGCTCTTTAAAAATTAGGTCCTCTATGTTAACATTAATGGTACTTATTTTTAATCATACTGATCTCAGAAGTTGTTTCTAATGTATTCTGTCATCACTCGTGTTTTAAAAGTTCTTATTTTTATAGCAATATGAGACAGAAGTTAAACAGCTGTCAGATGCATTGAGAGAGAAGACTAAAGAAAACAAGAGGCTCAAATCATCATTTGACACTTTGAAGGAAATGAATGACTCCTTAAGAAAACAGGCAAGATCGCTATTTATACCAGTTCAAGAAAAATTCGGAATTTTCCAAACATAATTTAAAATTGGTTCTAAAATGTCGTATTTTCAGCCCTATTAAGCAAGATTTAGATAATGGAGATAATCTTCTGTTTCCTTTCCTAAAACTTGAAATGTAATTGATTTTTTTTTTATCATTTCCAAATACTAAAAAAAATGCAGTTATTCTTCTGAAGGTCTAGCAATAGGTAATTCATATGCAAAAAGATGTCATAATATCTTAAACAAATGGACATCTCAGGGATAAAATCCTGAAGGAAAGAGAAAGAATACAACTCTAGCCTTATTTATAATATAGGGAGGTGCTTGCGCATGCCAGGGTGTTTTGGAATTCTCCTTTTGCTGCTAAACTGTATTATATAACCAGTTCTATATATTTCTAGCATATGTGGTTGCAAAGAAAACTTAGAAAATATAAATTGTGTGTAATGTTATGACTCCCCACTATTGTCTTCATGAATTTGAAGACATCCTGAAGCTCGACTTCAGTATGTCAAATGCTCCATTCACACCAATTTTCATCTTCAGATATTTTCACTATTTTATCCTCCAGCTAAAGTGTTTAACCCAGTCTGTAATTATCCTTACTGTTTTCCTATCAACTGCCAAATCCATTGGCTTCCTTCAGCATATCTTCTGTAGTATGGGTGTCTGTGCTGTCAGTACAGAAATCTCTGGTTTATCAAATATAGGGCAGTATAAAGTAAATAACCTGTGATGCTTCTTCTGTTGTTCAGTTTAACATTTAGTCAAACAATTTTAAATTTGAAGGGAGATGATGCAGAATTTCTTTTGTCTGCTGCTCCAGCATTCTGCAAAATCTTGTACTGCTGATTTATATTCAGCTTACCTTGCAGAGTAATGATAGAGTTACCAAGTGGGAGACTTGGCTACCTCAAGTTGTTTTTGCACAAATACTCTATAGAGAATTTTTTCAGCATTTGGGGAAGGAAAGTAATAGTACATTTGCTTTTTTACATTCCCACTTTTTGGTGACTGATCATTGAGCATTTTTATAATCTCATTCTGCTTCATACCACTAGGTTGAGAAAAAATAAGTATTAGTAACTGGACTGTATAGTTTTGTAGCTACGTAGAGGGCCTTGTTGCACTTGTTTTGAGCAGTTGCATGGTAATGTTTACTTCAAACCCTAAATAAACATCTCATACACTGCTGCTAGAGGAATGGTGAACAGGCCTCTCAGCAGGCTTCATTGAACCTTGAGGCTTTCAGTGGGTGCTCGGGGTGATACTGTGTGGTCTGGGGTTGCCCCCTTCACTTTTCCAGGCAGGTGGGGAGGTTGTCTTGGGATCAGTACCACCCTGGGGACAGTAGAGTTTGTGTAGGTGACTAGACAGGCTCTTGGAGTGGGTAGGGCTGGATGTAGTGTATCCTGGGATGCTGGAGGGCTGAAAATTGTTTATATTATCTCTGTGGAGCAGGCTAATGGTAGATGTGCATGTGTTACTTAATATGATCTGGCGGTACTCCTTGCCCAAAGAGTAATAAATTTGCTATGATACTAGAAAACTTGGCATGTTTTGCTGATTGTACACATGGATGCTTATGTTTTAAGTGCATTTCACATTTGAGACTAGGCCCTTAGATTTTCATATGCTCATTTTGCTGTAATAGTGTTATTTCAGAGAGATTCTTTTTTTCACAGAGGTTGGTTTTTGGATAAATGAATTATATGTGTAGTGCTTTGAAAGTAATAAATATACCTGTAATCATTACTCAGTAACATGTATGTATCTATATACCACATAATCACTAAGATTATGTGGTATATAATAGTCTTCCTGGACTTCCGGAAGGCTTTCGACACTGTCTCTTACCCCATTCTCATTAAGAAACTGGGGGGCTGTGGTGTAGACACCCACACAGTCAAATGGGTCGCCAGCTGGCTGGAGGGCCGCACCCAGAGAGTGGTGGTGGATGGGTCCTTCTCAACCTGGAAGGACATGGGCAGGGGGTTCCGCAGGGCTCGGGCCCGCACTGTTCAACATCTTCATCAGTGATTTGGGCGAGGGGGTAAAAAGCACCCTGTTCAAATTTGCTGATGACACTAAGATGTGGGGGGACATGGGCACACTAGAAAGCAACAGGCTATAATCAGACCTAGACAGATTACAAGGGTGGGCGGATGAGAATAGGATGGGATTCAACACAGACAAGTGCAAGGTGATGCACCTGGGGAGGAACAACCGGCACCATACCTACAGGTTAGGGAACTCCC